TATATATATATATATATATATATATATATATATATATATATATATATATATATATATATATATATATATATATATATATATATATATATATATATATATATATATATATATATATATATATATATATATATATATATATATATATATATATATATATATATATATATATATATATATATATATATATATATATATATATATATATATGTATGTATGTATATATATTAATTTAATTGTTATTCTAAGTTAAAAAAATAACAATTTGGTAAACTGTAAAAATATGTACATAACTTTTTAATGAAATGCATATAAAAAATGAATAAATATAAACACAAAACTTGATGAAATGCATATTGTATACATGTATGCATGTATATGTTTTTATATTTTTTAAAATAAGGAAATTATTTAGCTTTTAAAATTATATGATATTTTTAATTTCTAATTATATAATATAAATACATCTACACATGCTGTATTCTTGATTTATAAGCACATTTATAATGTGCTCAACGATTGTGTTTTCATACTTTGTTAATGATTTTTTGTTGTTGTTGTTAATAAGTTACAAATTGCATTAGTTAACTAGTCTTTAAGAATAGTTGGTGCTATTTTAAGATGATTCAGAATGCGTAAGTTAATTATTATTAAACTATTCAGATGAACATTTACAAATCTTAATATTCAGGCATATACTAATAGTTCATTTGTATGTTAGTAAATGCTTTATTAAGTCAACTCCGACCGGTTTAATCTAAAGAAATGACTATTTATGCTTTGTAAATCCCTTTTAAATGACAATTAAATGCTCGGTTATATTCTTAACAGGGGGGAGAAAAAGAAAATAAACAACTTTATTAATTTCTATTAATTTAAAGATACACAAATAAAACTGTATCAAATACAAAAATCAATCTTTGCAATCTTACGTAAAATAAAATTACTGTGCAGGTTAAACATCGCTAAATAACATTGAAATGTTGTATCTTAACATATTGTTAAATTATAATGTTGTTGTTTTATCCAATTTTATTTAATTGCATTTACTTCTAATTGTATTTTGACACTCCTGTTATTCAGCAAGGTTTAAAGTTTACAATACTTTTATTCTTTAAGTAGATTGCAAACGTTTATTGTTCATTTGATACTGAGCCTTTAATTGTCATCTTTAAGGAATTTACAAAGCATAAACAGTCCTCACTTTAGACTAGGTCACAAAACTGGATGAAGATGAGTTAATAAAGCATTTATTAACATACAAATCAACTATTACTATTTGCCTGAATAATCAAATATACAAATGTTGATTTGAATAGTTTATTAATTGTTTACTAACTCATTCTGAATGGTTCTAAAAGCCACCAACTACTCTAAAATACAAATGGTTTGTAAGTAATGTAATACTGAATTTAGAAATGCTGGCGACGCAGTGGCCCAGTAGGTAGTGCTGTCGCCTCACAGCAAGAAAGTCGCTGGGTCGCTGGTTCGAGCGAGCCTCGGCTCAGTTGGTGTTTCTGTGTGGAGTGTGCATGTTCTCCCTGCGTTTGCGTGGGTTTCCTCCGGGTGCTCCGGTTTCCCCCACAGTCCAAAGACATGTGGTACAGGCAGGGGCGGACTGGGACAAAAATTCAGCCCTGGCACTGCAGCCACATCAGCCCACATTACCACACCGACACAGCACCACCCACGGACACGCACATTCACTATTTATTTTGGTGTACAGATGGTGAAATAATATGACATTCTTGCCAGATTTTGATTACATCCGGGTAACCTCAGATTGGGTCAGCCCATCTTGAAATTAGGCGGTCGTCGCCGATTGGGCCAAATGCTTAACATTTATTATTAATATTTTTTAATATTTTTTATTTATTTATTTTTATTATTTATGTTTTTTATTTATCATTATCATAATATCACATCTAGCAAGAGATAAAAGCTGCCTGCACGTAAAAACAATTAAAATAAATAAATAAAAAAAACTGACCGGCCCACATTTAAAAATTGGTCCGGCCCTTCTGGCATTTGCCAGAATTGCCAGATGGCCAGTCCGCCCCTGGGTACAGGTGAACTGGGTAGGCTAAATTGTCCGTAGTGTATGAGTGTGTGGATGTTTCCCAGGGATGGGTTGCTGCTGGAAGGGCAACTGCTGCTTAAAAAGGTGCTGGATAAGTTGGCGGTTCATTCCGCTGTGGTGACTCCGGATTAATAAAGGGACTAAGCCGACAAGAAAATGAATGAATTAATGAATTTAGTAATGACAATAGAATTATTAAGCACATTATACATGTAACTATGTCAATAATACAGCATGCATAGCTGTATTTATAAACTGCTGACACACATGTATTAATGTAGAGTTAAGGCTTAACAGATATTGAATAAACTATTTGCTAATGCTTAATAAAGGATTCATAGTATGTAGATATTATAAAGTGTTACCAAAATCACTTCATCTTTGACCTTGAGTTTGTACTTTTATTAAAAAATCAACATATGTCTTTGCTTATTTTACTTGTTGTCATTAAACTATATTATGTCACCCGCATTAAATCCACCAGTATTGACTTCAACTGAAAAAAGCCCAGTTGTCAGCCAGCCACTAGTTGAAAACAACTTATTATTTTGTTTTTCAGATTTCAGTGGAACATGCAGAAGAGTGTCAGGCAGCATTCAAAACACAATCTCGGCGTTTTCCTGCGAAGAGGCGACAGCTCTGACAGTCGACGTCGAGCTGCATACAAATGCGGCGGCTTTCAGCACTTCTGCCTGAGGAAGCGTCGCTAATGGCTGCCAGACCGTCCCACATCTACAGCTCCAAGTGCACGTAAATGCCTCACAATGCCTTCAAAAGTGTCATGCCTCTACGTGTTGACGGTGGTTTGCTGGGCCAGCGCTCTGTGGTATCTAAGTATATCCCGACCAACGTCATCCTACGTCAACCAACTGTCCGCTCCAGCACGAAAAACTCCGAAAACGTTGAAAAGCAATGCAACTACAACATTCGGGAACATCCGAACGCGTCCGCTAAACCCTCACGGATTTGATTTCATCATCAACGAGCCCAAGAAATGCGAAACCAACGTGCCATTCCTCGTTATTCTCATCACAACAACGCACAAAGAGTTCGACGCCCGGCAGGCCATTCGAGAAACATGGGGCGACGAAAGCACATTTAGCGACCTGCGCATTATCACGCTGTTTCTTCTGGGACGCAGTACGGATGTGGTGCTCAATCAGATGGTGGAGCAAGAAAGCGAGATCTTTCACGACATCGTCGTCGAGGATTTCATCGACTCGTATCACAATCTAACCCTCAAAACTCTGATGGGAATGCGCTGGGTGGCCACCTTTTGCAACCAAGCCAAGTATGTGATGAAAACAGACAGCGATATATTCGTCAACATGGATAATTTGGTGTATAAACTGTTAAAACCGGCTACAAAACCTCGACGGAGGTACTTCACCGGATACGTCATTAATGGTGGACCAATACGGGACATGCGTAGCAAATGGTACATGCCCAGAGATCTTTATCCCGAGAGCAAATACCCGCCGTTTTGCTCTGGAACAGGATATGTGTTTTCAGCAGACGTCGCGGAGCTCATCTATAAGACTTCCCTGCACACTAGACTCTTGCATTTGGAGGATGTTTACGTCGGCGTGTGTTTGAGGAAGCTGGGAATCCACCCATATCAGAACAGTGGCTTCAATCACTGGAAAATGGCCTACAGTCTTTGCAGGTACCGGCGGGTCATCACCGTACACCAGATCTCCCCTGAAGAGATGCATCGCATCTGGAATGACATGACCAGCAAGAAGCATCTTAAGTGTTAGGAAGGATGCCTGAGGAGGTGTATGTGTGCCCTTTTTTTGATACCCATAGTGCAACCTGAAGCCTTGGGACAACTTTCTTAGAAAACAAAAACCACAAACATCTCTGTGGAGCAGTTTTTCAGATGCAGCCGTGGATCACGGTTGGCGAGATGTGCTATTCGTGTTAATATTACAGCTGTGTTTGTTTGTAAAGGTTCAACATGCTGGTGCTTCTTTTTGCCTGGATGCACAGCAGATGTGTTGAATGAATGTCCATAAAGGGTTAGTTCAAGCAACAATGTTAATTCTGCTATTAATTACTCACACTCATGTCGTTTCGATGCCCTGCGATCATCTTCAGAACACAAATGAAGATGCGATGAAGCCGGATTCTCTGTGTTTTATATTAACTCGCATTGTTTGCTTTATTTCGTAACTATAGTTTTGTTCTCATGCTCTGATTTGTAGCTTAACAGTCAATCTGATTGCTCTATTTCAGGGGTTTCCAAACTTTTCAGCCCATGATGCCTAAAATAACAATGCCTAGACACAGTGACTAGCTGTAGCCAATGAGAGAGCAAGTCATGAGCTGAATGACTTTTGTGTTCAGGAGCTCAACAGAAATATCTGTGATTGGCCAGAAGGGTCATCGATGCAAATTAAATTGAAACTGTGTCAGTCCAGTTCAGATCAGTGTGGTGTAAATTTCACTGCTGAAACACTGAAGAGCAAATCAATCGATGTGCAGTTCCACAACACGAGGAACAAACATCTCTAATTGTTGAAAGTGAAGGAAAAAACCTCGGGAGAGACCAGGCTCAGTTGGGCACGACCATTTCTCCTCTGGCCAAACTTCCTGTGCAGAGCTGCAGTCTAGGCACTGGAGGCTGGAGAATGCCTGACATCCATTATGAAGAAGCTGCAGGTGTGTGTTGGTTGTATACATAGTGCCACGTAGTGTGAAATACAACAGCGATTTAGACACAAAATCTAATATAGTCTGAACGCCAAAGCGATCTTCCAAAGTTTAAAGTTATGAAGTGTTAACTAGGCTTAACCAGTTAAACTGTGCAGACCCGGGACGTTGTCGATTTTCGCTTTAAGATTTAAAGGGCTAGCATTGCACCAGACCCCCTTAAGTGGTTTCGTTTGAAAGTGTAAAATCTATATTTTATGCACATATGCATCACTTTGGTTATTATTCTACTGTACAAAAGTTATTTTCACTTAAATACACAGTATTTTGAATACCCGAGCTGGGTATTTTACATTGGTTTATTTTCATATTTTTCATATGACACATGTACAAGTTATAGCTCAAATGAAAGCTCTTGCTGGAGCTTATATGTTTCTAGTATTTTATTTACTGAATTATATTCACATATCAAACAGTTGCCGAATAAATCACAGTATTTCCATGGCGCAGAAGTGAAAACAATACATTTATGATCACTAAGCAGCCCCAGATAGCACAGACAGCTGTCATCTCTTGCCTTATGCTGTGTGCTTCAGGGCCATTTCTCCTCTGTTTTTGAGGTGATGTGCATAAGTAATCCTTTTATATGTCTGACGTGGTCCAATCACAGTGAATTATGTTTGATCAAACAAAAGAATAGTGAACTATGAAAACAATGATCGATCCCTGTGGCTTGTATAGCACCTCTCATCAGTTGGAATATAATAACTTTTGCATAGATTATGGTGGAGACATTTTTCTTTTTTCCTATGATTAAAGAAATGTGCAGGAAACACCAAAATGAATTACAGTACGCTAAACCACACAGAACCTAAAAGGTACACCTTCAAATTTGTGTATAAAAAAAAAATCACAAAAGCGCCTCTATTTTTAGTTATTATAACACAGACAAATAAACAGTTATTTTAAACACTTTCACTAGTGTTTTATGAAAATGTAAAGGGTTTTCTTTAAAATGATACCACTTTTTTTTGTATTTACACCTCTGCATGTGGATTTGGGAAGCTTTTACATTTGGGTAGGCAAAATACAGGCGGAAATCCCAAAAAAACAGCAGAGTTTAACTGGATAATACGCTCATGGTACTAATGTACTTTAAATTGGACAGCATGCAATACACTTCTAAAGGCATGTGTCCTATACGGTAAACTTTCCACAACACGGTCTTACTTTCACTTTTGATTTGTGCACATTGACTAGTGTAAGAATTTTCCTGTCATAACATCCCTACTAACTTAAGAGCTGTCGGATTTCATCTAAAATATTTGATATGTATGTTCTGAAGTTGGTCTCAGGAGTTTAAAACCACACTGTGTGAGTAATTAATAACACAACAAATTTTTTTGGGTGAACTAACCCTTTACTCATTCACTTTTCTTTGCACATACAAACTCTGGTTGTAAAAATGCAAACCCATGCTTTGTTTACTGTACGTGACAAGCGCCTGCATTCTGTTTGTTTACATGTTTGCTTTATTTTCTTGAAGAAAAAAGATAACAGAAATGTATAGGTCATTATTTATAAGAAGATGTATACAAATTATTTTCTTACTCCTAGAAGTGGACCACCATCGCTTCAGAACAGCTCATGTTTGTAGTTATTATACTGTAAATCTGTATATCTGAGGACATCGCCGCTTGGTATCGTTTAGTGAGTATCCACTGTAATGGTAAACCCTGTAGGAGCGCAGTGTAAATGTGGCATATAATGAAGCACTTTGAAGGAGAAGTGAAAAAATGTGGGAAACTTGAAAGTTGTTTTTTTATTCCTACAATTGGATTTAATTGAGAAGAAAATGTCATGTGTTTTCTTATTTTATTTTGCGGTATTAAGAGAACGTGACATTTACTGTGAAACTACTGAACATCTTATCTCCATTGGTACTGTTGTATTATACTGTGTATTTTTTACGTAAAATATAAACAATGTCCTTTTTCCCCCTAAGTGTTGATCTTTGGTTCGCTCATTCATATTCAAAATTGGATACAAAGAAATGGAAAGACTTGTATTGCTTTAAAATGATCAAATGTGACAGTAAAATAATTATGATGTCACAAATTTGGGTAACACTTTATAATAACTACACACTATAAATCATTTATTAGGAAAAGCAAATAGTGATTTCATTATCCGTTAAGAATTAACTCTACATTAATAAACGTTAGTAAGCAGTTTATAACTGCAGCTACAAATGCTCTATTCTTGACTTATAACAACATTTAAAATGTGCTTAATAATTGTATTTTCATACTTAGTAAATTATTTATTTTTCATTACTAAATTAAGTATCGCATTATTTAAAAACCAGTTGTATTTAAGAGTAGTTGAAGGTTTTTAGGATCATTCAGAATGAGTTAGTAAATGATTAGTAAACTATTGAAATTATTGTTTATATGTCTTATTATTCAGGCATATATTAATGGTTACTATGTTTGTTAATAAATGCTTTATTAACTCCACTTCACCTAGTTTTGTGACCTAATCTAAAGTAAGGACTGTTCATGCTTTATAAATCCTTTATAAATGACAAATAAAGGCTCAGTTAAATTCTAAACAGGAAAAATGACATTATTCATTCCTATTCAATTAAAGATACACAAATGAAACTGTACTTCAAATGAAAAATAAATCTTTGCAACCTGATCTAAAATAAAATCACTGTAGAGTTTAAACATTACATTTTATTACATTGTTTAATTATTATATTGTTGTTTTATTCAGTTTTGTTGTATTAAGACACTGCTGTTATTCAGTAATGTTTAAACTTTACAATAATTTTACATTTTAGAAAAGATTGCAAAGATTATAGTTCATTTGATTTTGAGCCTTTATTTGTCATTTATAAGGGATTTATAAAGCATAAATAGTCCTCACTTTAGATTAGGTCACAAAACTGCATGAAGTTGAGTTAATAAAGCATTTATTAACATATTTGTTGACTATTAGTATATGTCTGAATAATAAGAATTATAAACGTTGATTTCAATAGTTTATTAATCATTTACTAACTCATTCTGAATGATCCTAAAAACCCACAACTCTTAAATACAACTGGTTTGTAAATAGATGGATACTTAATTTAGTAATGAAAAATAAATAATTTACTAAGTATGAAAATAATATTCTTAAGCACATTTTAACTGTGGTTATAAGTCAAGAATAGAGCATTTGTTACTAACGTTTATTAATGTAGAGTTAATGCTTAACGGATAATAAAATCACTATTTGCTAATGCTTAATAAATGAATTATAGTGTGTAGTTATTATAAAGTGTTACCCAAATTTCTAATAAATGCAGTTCTTTTGAACATTGCTCAAATAACCCCTGAAAACAACTATAGTCTCCACAAAACTGTAAAGCAGCACAGCTTTTTTTTATTAATCCCTAAATCACCATATTTTAATAACTTCTGAAGGATTATGTGACTGAAGACTGGAGTGATGATGTTGAGAACTAATTTTGCGTAACAAGGAATAAGTGAAGTTTATTTATAAACTAAAGCTGCGGTCACACTGGACTTTTCTCCCCATAGACTTCCATTCATACGAACGTGAATGCATCAGAACATGACCTCTCTGGACAGAAATGTAAAATATGGACCAATTGCTTGCTTTTTAAAATGTCAAATCATCTTGTTTAATCCTGCCCCTTTTCTCAGCGCTGTCCAACAAAATTTTGCATGCACAAACTGTATTGGGACTGCAGCATAAAGCTGCGGACACACTGGGCTTCTTCTCCCATAGACTTCCATTCATACGCAAGCGAATGCGTCAGACCGGAAACGCAGGGTCATGCATCAAGTTTCGCAGGTTGCTGCGGTGCAAAGTTCAAACTTGGTGAACTCTGACCTGCGAAATGGCATCACTTGACTGCTTGAGACCAATCGAGGATCAAAACATGACCTTTCTGGACAGAAATTTAAAATATTTTTAAATGTCTGACTATCTTGTTTAATCCCGCCCCTTTTCACAGAGCCGTACGACAGAATTTCCCAAGCTCAAATTCTAGTGTGACCGCAGCATAATTTGGAGAGGATCACATGCCTATGATTGACCACCGCTGGTCCCGCATTAGCTAACGCATGATTCACCAATCAGATGATTTGAGTTACTTACCTCAGTCATCTTCGTCTTGAAGAATCCCCCCTACTCCTTCCTCTTTTCCTTGATATGACAGCTCAGGGGTTAGCAATGTTGCCTCAGAGCAAGAATATCACTGGTCTAAGTCTCTAACAGGCCAGTCGATATGTCTGTGCGGAGTTTACATGCTCTCTCCATGCTTGCATGGGTTTCCACTGGGTTCTCCGGCTTCCTCCCACAGTCCAAAAACATGCGTCATAGGTGAATTGACCAAACCAAATTGCCACCATAGATGAGCTCTTAATCAGCAGTATATCTTTTCATAGCAATCACTAATTTGTCATTAGCCATAAATAAGCAAGGCAGTTCTCGAGACCTAACTGAGCTCAAACTCTCTTCTGAAGTATGAATTATTCGTGACCATTGTCACTCATTCACAGAGCTGAGATCACTGAAAACAAACTTAACAAATTGTATGTCATTGTAATGTTTTCTTTGAATGAGAGAACAAAATCATACTCAGTTAAAATACTTGGGTTAAAAATAACCCAACATATAATCAAGCTATAGGTTATTAAAGCACCTTCCAGGCTCAGTACTTTGTTGATGCACCTTTGGCAGTAATTACAGCCTCAAGTCTTTTTGAATGTGATGCCACAAGCTTCTTCTTGCTTCTTGCTTTTTGCAGTACCTCTCAAGCTCTATCAGGTCGGATGGGAAGCGACGGTGTACAACCATTTTCAGATCTCTCCAGAGATGTTCAAAAGGATTTAGGTTTGAGCTCTGGCTGGGCCACTCACCGAGTTGTTTTGAAGCCCCTTCATTGATATTTTGGCGGTGTGCTTTGGGTCATTGCCCTGCTGGAAAATGAACCGTCGCCCCAGTCTGAGGTCAAGAGCACTCTGAAGCAGGGTTTCATTCAGGATGTCTCTGTACATTGCTGCATTCACCTTTCCCTCTATCCTGACTAGTCTTCCAGTTCCTACTGCTAAAAATACCTCCAAAGCATAATGCTGCCACCACCATGCTTCACTGTAGGGATGGTATTAGCCTGGTGATGAGCGGTGATTGGTTTTCTCCAATGGTTTTCAATGCTTATCATTCACTCCAAAG